TTGACTTGGTTCAATTATCCAGTATTTTTCCATTTGTTTTAGTTGATTATTAATTTCATCCCTTTGACTATGAACTAGCTTATACTGTCTTTGGTAGATAGGAGGGTGGTCTATAGGAGTTTTAATTTCATGTACTATAGACGATGTGCTAAGTAATTTATTCCCCTCTAAATAAAATATATAAGAGTACTCAACACAGACTTTACCTATAAACTCTTTTTCTTCTTATAAATGTTCTAGGTACAATTCCTTATATAAGCTATCTATTCTATCTGAATTCGATTTATTGTTTACGTTATTATTTCCAATTTCTATATGGGAAATAGTTTCCTCTTTATAGATCTCATAATATATGTCATCTAGTTTGAATTGTTTTATAATTTTTTCTTCATCCGACAAATTAACGACATTTACAAGTATTTCCCCATTTTTTACTTGATTTAAAATATTGCGGACTTCTTATTAATTCCGGTTGATGGTTCAAGTTTCTTTTTGTTCTGTAGTCTTTCAATTTTTTTTTTGTTTGGTGGTACTTATTGTTAGCATTTTTCCCTTGTTTTTCCACCGTCTGGAGTTATTTTTGTCAAGACAGCCTTGTTTACTGAAGTCTCTATTTTGTTTTTCAGCTCTTTTATTTCTTGGTCTATGAACGCCAACCTTTTTTTATCTCTTTTACTTCATTACGTAATAGTTTGTCGCTTGCTGTTTTTAAAATTTTCTGCGCACCTTTGCTGTTCATTGGATGATGTATTGAAACGCATTTGGGCGTAACTCCTTTGTCTCTACACCTCTTCATAAATGCTGAGTCAGATACGAGCTTGGCCTTTTTCTGGGAAAGAATGTCCCATCGTCTGCAAGTCTTCTTCATGTCCTCTCCGTAGAGTCTTGATATGAATGTGTTGAAACTTCTTCTTCTTCTTAACAGCTTAGCGGACCATGTAGATCCATCGCTGCCACCACTAATTCCCTCCATCGGTCCCTATCATTTGCATCCTCCATTCTCGCGTCTTCATGGATCATCCTTAAATCATTTCCTACTACGTCCCTCCATCTTGTTCGAGGTCTTCCTAACGGTCTTTTCCCACAATTCTTCCCTCCGTGGCTCGTTTTATAGTCTTTCCCTCTGCCCTCCAAACATGTCCAGCCCACTCCATCCTCTTGCCTCTGCTATATGACAGGATATTAGGTCTTCCATACAAATTTTGTAAGTCATTATTGTGTCTCCTTTCGTACGTTCTCGTTTCCATATTATAAACAGGGCCAAATATTTTTCTAAGTACTTTTCTTTCTGTTGTACTTAGTTTGGAGTAGTCACCTTTTGTAGTAGCCCACGTCTCACATCCATATGTCAAAACTGGTCTTAGGTAGCTTATGTATAAAGTTATCTTCGATTCTCTTGATAACAATTTCGACTTAAATAGTTTTAGTAAACTGTAATAACATCTGTTCGCGCTAGCTACTCGTTCTTTTATTTCTTCATGTACGTTATTTTTGTTGTTTATATTTATCCCTAAGTATTTAAACGCTTCTACTTTTTCAAAGACATAAGAATCTACTTGTAAACTTAAGTCATTACCATCGTTTCGTGAGATACACATATATTTTGTTTTACCCTGGTTAACTTCTAGACCCATGATCTTTCCTGCTTCCAAGAGTTTTATTGTGGTTTGCTCCACTTCGTTTCTAGAATTCCCCAGAACAACCACATCATCCGCATAGGCAAGGATGGTTTCAATTTCACCTACTTCCATTTTTCGAGTTTCGTTAGCTGTTCTCACTACCCATTCAAGAGCAATGTTGAACAGCATCGGCGACAGTGCGTCTCCTTGGCGCAGACCAGATTTTACTTCAAACTTTTCAGATAATTCTTGTTGATATTTTACCTTAAAATTAGTCTTACTATTACACATCTTAATTAAATCTATATATTTCTGAGGAATACCCAAGCGTTTCAAAACATTCCATAACTCTTTTCTATTAATGGAATCGTAGGCTTGTTTGAAGTCTATGAATACCAGGTACAGATCCTTATTATATTCGTAATGCTTCTCCGCTAGTTGTCTGATGGTATGGACGTGATCGACAGTTGATTTTCCTTTTCTAAATCCACGCTGGTATTCCCCCACAATCTCTGTTGCATATGGGCTTATTCGTTCCAGTAACAGTGTTGTAAATACTTTATATCCTGTGTCTAATAATGATATACCCCTATAATTTGACACTAACATTGGATCTCCCTTCTTGAAAATAGGACATAGTATTGCCGTATTCCACTCTTCTGGCATAGTTTCTTTTTTCCATACTTCACTTATAACTCCATGCAATGTGTTTATTAAGCCTTTTCCACCTCTTTTTAGTAGCTCCGCTGATATTTTGTTTTCACTCGGTGCTTTGTTGTTCTTAAGTGTTCCTATTATCCTTGCTACTTCTTCCTGTTTAGGTTCTCCAATGTCTGGCTCTACATTGTAGTAAGTCACGTCTTCGTTTGCGCTACTTTGTCCTTGTCTGTTCAGTAATGTTTCAAAATATTTTTTAAACAGCTCTACTATTTCTCCTTTATCCGTGACTAATTCTCCTTTCTCATTTAATAGCATTTTTACTTGCGGTTTGAAACCTTCTTTAATTTGATTGCTGTTTTCAAAGAATGTTGAAACTTAGACTATTAAAAAAAGTAAAACACATAAAAGCAATAAAAACCATGGTGCTTATAGCGCAAATGAGTATAAATTATTAAAAAAAAAAATCTCAAAAATATTCACTAAGAGGCATCTAGTTTCAAAACCAGCCCTAATATGTGTTTGTTTGAAAATCTTGGTTGGTTCTATCTAAAGAAATTATGTTGTTTTGTGAAAATTTTCAAAAATTGTATTTGCGCCTCATATCAGTCTCATCATAATGTATTGTATTTTGGGGTTTCCCAGAAAAAGAAAACAAAATTTTAAGAAGGGTACAACAACCCCCCCCCCTCCTTAGTTGTGACATTAAATTAAGATGAATAATGAAAAAATTATTTTAAGACTGTGTGGAGAAAAATGATGAAGTTACATTATTTGCATCATGTTAACAACAACGAAGACACATTGAAAACTGTAAGACTTCTACTTTGTTTGCCGTTGTTGCTTGCTCGGTACATAGAAAGAGGCTTCATTGTGCACTTGGAGCGTTTGTTTCAATATTACCAAAGGTTTGTATAATTGAGATATGAAGACATACATACTAAAAAAAAAAAATTGAATGTATACAGTATTTTTTAAATTGACTGTGTTTGTTTAATTTAACTAATCTTAGATTGTAATTGTTTAAATAAATGTGTATGTATGTATGTACTAGATATTGGTTAAGAAGTGTTGGGCCGGAAGTTGTATCAATTCATGGGCTCCCTAGAAGAATCAACAACAATATAGAGTCCTTCCACAATTCACTAAAGCTCAAGTTTGCCACGAATCATCCGAGTTAATGGATGTTTTTGAGTAAGAAACATCTAGCATTGCATAATCCTGTAATACATTTTAAATTTGATTAAAGAAACAAACGTCATAGTAGCCTAACATTTTACTACCTAATTATAAACAATTATTAATGATTATACTATTGACATATTAATTCCTTCTTGTTTGTAGTCTTATTATAATTTTTCACTTTACATCTAAAGAAACCTGTTGTCAATAATGAAATAAGTGGGTTAATTAATGTTTTTAGGTCATTGATAAATTAAGAGAGTTGGCTTGTTAGTTGATACATTTTTCTTCGGGAGCTGAATTTTCTTTTTGTGAAGTGTTGTAAGGATTTTTTTTGTGCTAGGGGAGGATAGTTTGAATTATTATTAAGTATATTTGTATTTAAATTATAAGTATTTGTTTGATTTTAGCTATTTTCCGCACTAAATGCCGCAAATATCAAATACATAGACAACATTTCAAAATAATTAAACAACTGGTTGAGTCATTGGGACCTGAGGAAAAGAATGTCTTTAAATGATAAAATTCATAAAAACACCCAACCTGTACAAAAAAAATTTAAAAAAAACGTAATTAAAAATTGTAATTAATGGATAACTAATGACCCATGTTGTCGATATTTCAAAAAGATCAATAAAAAAAAATAATACTTAAGATTTACTGCAGGCAATAATATTTAGGAAAAATTTGATAACGATAAGAAATTTAAAAAACGAAGTTTACATCGTAAACGGTTACTTTAAATGTTGATAATTTTTAATCGATAAGAAATAGCACATGTTTGTTATCAATAATATGCGTATGGAGGTAGAACAAAACGAAACGTTTTGGTATAAACGAATTTCGTACTATTGACTATTGGATTTAGTAAATGTTTCATATTGATCCTAAAACTGAATTGTAAGGAATTAAATGAAAACACTTTCCCGATATTGTTTCTATTTACCCCATTTTTCGGTACCTCTTTAATCAAAACGAATCTTACTATAGGTCAGTAAATATAATTATTTGTGTTATATTATTATATAGTAAATATGTCAATAATAATCTCACTGTGCAAACACATTAAGAAAGCAAGGTCATAGCTGTGACTAAATCAATCTCCATGAGAAGTATTAAAATAAGTATTGCACAAACACAAACTCTAAAATATTTTGATTAACTAACACATAGACTGTCACAGACACTCCCTCAATGACCCTGAATAAAACTTAAAACTGTATACATGGTTTATTACTTTGAATTTAAAAAAATTAAAAGACAATTATTATATTCGTCATCTTCATCAAAAACACAATCATCTTTATAATAAATGTTAAAATACCTTGAGAATGTCATATCTTTTCGCAGTTACTTAAACGTTTTTAATTAGTTAAAACAATGAGAAAATCAACGAAATTACCTCATGAATCTAAAATATCTGATATATCTGTTGGCCACAATTCCCTAGCGGTGGTTAACTCTACAGTAATAGTTATAGTAATATAAACAAATATCATTTGTTTGGTGTGATTGTGATTGTTATCGTCTGTTAATGTTGTCATGTTTCTTAAGTTTAGTCGATTTCACCAGGTTGTCACTCGAGTTGGACAACCAAGCAGACGTTTTATTGCATCTCAGTGTAGCCAGCTGACAAATGGCGTGCTGTACGAAGAGTTTCGTTTGAATTCTGGGATAGAGGAGCCGACGGTAGCTATAATTGGTGGAGGCATATGTGGTCTATCAGCGGCTGCCGAATTGGCCAAAAAAGGGTTTAAAAAGTTCAAAGTTTTTGAGGCACTTGAACGGGCGGGTGGCAGGATCAGTTCAATTGTGCACGACAATCGAGTGTTTGAACTGGGCGCTCGATGGGTTGACGACGGTTTGCTATCCTGGCCGCTTGGCATGGCTTGCGAACAAGGTCTGTTAAAAGAGTATGAGAAACGGAAATACTTCTCAGAAGCCCAATACTTAACACACGACGGTCGGGTTGTGAATGAACTCATTGGCTCACAGGCTTTAGACGCGTTTCGCAGTATCTTGGATCAAAAAGGATCGTCGCAAGTCAACAGTTGTCATTGGAAGGGATCCTCGTTACTAAGCTATATACAAGAACGGACGAAGGAGTTCATAGCTACGGCACCGGTTGAGTCCCAAGCCGACATGTCCAATGCGATGACCGCTCTGACCGAAGGTTTCAGCAACGAGTGCGCTGCAGATCTAAGCGAAGTGGACGTCGGTAAGTTCAGCGACGGACGTGACTTTGTCGATCGCATCAGCGTGCCGTCAGGGATAGTCAATATTCTACAGATGTTTTGGGAAAGGGTAGACAAAAACGTTGAGTTATGCTCGCCCGTGGAAAAAGTCGAGTGGGACCCGAGTAAGATATCAGAACGCCGTTGTCTGGTACACGTATCGGGTAAAAATCCCGTGGAAGCCCATTACGTGCTCGTCACCGTGCCTTTGGGGGTCCTAAAAAAAGGCTTGAGTTTCTCGCCGTGCTTGCCGAATGAAAAATGCGAGGCCATCGAAATGTTGGGATTCGGACATTTGAATAACCTTTACCTGGAGTACAATAGGCCTTTCTGGGACGACAACCTCGGGACGATTCGGTTATCAGGAGCAGGTATGAACTCCAAACAGCGGTTCAAGGATTGGGGCAGTTCGTTCAGCCACTTCGAACAAATGCCGGGCGCTCGCAACGTCTTAGTCACTCAGCTGGCTGGATTGGCGGCTTGTCAGTCGGAACATGTTACTGAAGAAGACATAGCCAAACAAGTCACCAGAGTGTTGCGACACTACACTGGCAACAGCACGATTCCATACCCTTCAAACGTTATCAGGTCGAAATGGACGAACAACCCGTTTTTCAGAGGAGCATACAGCTTTAACAGACCGGGGTACGATTCCAAGATGCTACGGGAAACCTTAGGACAACCTGTTCCGGACGTGGACAAAGCAACGTGTCCGCCAGTTCTATTTTTCGCCGGAGAGGCTTGTTCAACGGGTCACTATGGCACCATTCAAGGAGCTATACTGTCGGGTTATGAACAGGTGCGCAGGATCATCGAATTAACCATGAAATACAACGGTTTGCCAAAACTTGTAGTTTAATATTTTTTAATAACTAATCTATATATATATATAAAAATTAATTTCTGTCTGTTTGTCCTTTATGCATTAGTACACCGTTCATCCGATCGATTCAGTCTCCACAGGAGTAACCTCTCTAGTAACTTTCCGGCTGTGTTGACCATGCACAGCGGGCGGAAGCTGCTCGGATCATTGACTGACCCCACCTTTGTATAGCAGCACCAATCTCGCCTCCTTCCATAGTGCAGGAAAGCTCGCTTCTTTGAGGCACTCGTTAAACATGTCAAGCAGTCGCACTTTGCTCACATTGACGTATGTTAGGGGGGTCATATTTCTGCTAACGTCACCCGTTAAAGGCTCTAAAACAAAACAAAAACTCTATATGAGTATATATTTATATATGTTCAATAATCGCTCACCCAGTTTTTGTACCGACCTATATTTACATAGAAAATCATATAATCGGTCCCTCTGGACAACTTCTAATGAGGAAAGTGAATTCACTTGTCGCTGGAGCTCTTCGGATGTGAAAATTGAACAAACATAAAAATATTTTCATCATGAAGACGTTTGGACGGCCAAGACAAAATATTTGATACGGAGTTGATTAGATCACACTGTCGATCAGAAGGAGATTCATATAGTGATTGAGGGAGAACAGAAACTTTCATAGTCAATAATAATTTTTATTCCGAAAAACAAATACTCTTATTCTGGAGATTCGGAATAACACCATAGCAAAACAGACAATTGAGGAACAACTAAAAACACACCATCGTCAGACTGTCCTGACAAAATGAAATTGAACAAAACTTGCTGGACAACTGTCTTGCTTTTTCCTTTTAACGCAGTAGATACAGTGACTCCGTTGATCGGCATCGAGGATAGATGGTGGTCTTTCTTTAAACTGTTAAATAGAGATTCGGACTTTGTCCAACATGTAGCCAGTAGCGCCAGTGTCTAAGAGATCATTATGAGATAGGGTAAACAGATCGATAGAAACCAAGGGAATTTCATTGGTAGCACTATCGGATCTATAAGAAAGCTGTGTAGAATATAACAGAACGAGACAATCGGGACACGGTTAATTGACCGTTCAAACCGGTGTTTTCCGAATGCCCATTACAGTTACGGCCATTCTAGATGTGGCTTTGATTGGTGGGGTCGTTGTTGTTCGCACAGTCGCGGTTGTTATTGTTAGGGCCGCTTCGATTGTTATTAGCATACCTATTGCTTTGATAGTTATTATTTTGGTTGTGAATGTAATTAGTGCGGTACTGGGGGTTATCATAAGACAGGTGTACATTAGGTCTGTCGTGAAACGTTGATGCATTCTCGAACTCAGACAACACAGACATCAATTCGGAAGTCGTTTTAGGCCTTCTACCAAGCATGTTGGTACACAAAAAAAAGTAATTCCATTTTGGTAAAATATATTTAATCGCCCATTTCTAATAAATGGGAAAGGGAGCGTTTTGAAGAATAGTGGAAATAGAAAGTTTTGACAAATATTGAAGGAAATAGAACGTTTTGCAGTAAATGATCTATTGGGAAAAGGACGTTTTAAATTAATTGTATTTTTCAATAATTTTTTTTTTTTTGGGAAAAGAGCGTTTTGCCAAAAAATGACTTTACCATTCGACTCCTATACAATTTACCATAAGAATCATACTTATCTTATTATGAACTTACCAATATGTAATTCTTAACCCTTTCAGTCCCCAATTTTTGTTTGTGGAGATAACATTTTTTAATACTTTTTTCTTATAATACTCGGTTACCATACGGCACTGCACTATAAAACAAATTGTAGCAATTGTGTTTATTTGTAGTTTTTAGTCTAGTACTAGTGGAGTCACGGTCCACGAGTTTTTATGAGGCCCCCACTGTAGTGAATATTTATTGTATATTAAAATATTAAATAAGAGTTACTATATACACATTTGAATTGTATAATATAAATTATACTCGTAATGTACTTCTTTAATGTAGTTTGATGGCAAAAAAAAATTTGCTGACAAATTAATTTTATAATTATAACTTCATACTTACCAACATATATTTATATAAAAAAAAAAAAACTCATAATTGTATTAAATTAGTTGAACAATAAAGCACTTCCCATAACTTTGGAAGATCTTCCAAGTGTATCGATGGCTTCGTCAATATTTATCTGTATGTCCCGTTTCATCAAAAGTAACGAAAGAAACTTTCTAATCGGTGTTGAGACATTGTAGATGTTATCTTAGTTTTGATAAACTTGACCTTAACACATTAGAATTTAAAATAGTTTTAATTAGACATTAGATACTGACGAAATAAAATAACAACCATCAATGAAGATGATGAGAATGGAATAGTTCCCAAAGCTTTATAAGCTAACGCCAATTTTAAAAAGGCCGCTTCCAAATTAAAACTTGCTAACATTTTGACAATGTCAAGCGAAGTTATTGTTTTTTTCTGCTCTAATTGAATATTTATTTCATCATCAGAATCTTCGGAAGACACCAATAATGTATTTGATTGATTTTCAATTCCGTAATGGAGATTTTTAGGGAGCTCCATATTTGAACTTATCATTACACATTCATTTTTAAATTCATCTATTTTAATTTCTTCGTTGACCGTTTTATTTTGAAATTTCGTCAATCGTTCAGGTGATAGGAGTAAAAGACCCATGGATTAGGCTTTTCCCTCATGTATTGCTTAGCTCAATGGATACCTTTAAATGGAACAATTTGTTTATCTACGCTAATATTTTTCTTGATAGTTAATTCACTACGACTTCTACTAAGACTATCAAATAATGGTCGTATTTTTATAAATTTATCACAGTTTGTTTTTGGAATTTTTGTGTTATCAATAACATGAAACAAACAACGAAGAATGAAAAATCGGTTACGTATAATGTTTTCGGAAAAGATACCTTAAACTTTGTATCCCAGTAAAGGCGTAGGTATTCTAGGATATCCTAAAATCCCCATAATTAAATGTACTTCAACAAATATTTTCATTTCAAACGGCGTAGTTGGTTTAAAATGTTGAACGTTTGTTTGTTGAGCGTAAAGATTAGTACAATCAGTCATTTTTGCAAATTCATTATCTGGGAAATATTTTTCGAAGTATCGATGTGGATAAAGTATTGTGTCGGGTGCTTTGTGTGGTTGAATTGGTTTAGGATTTATTATTGGAGCACTAAAAGGCCTAAAAAATATTTAATACTTAACACATTTCTTAAGTAAACTCTTGAACTTCAAAATTTTAAATGTTAACATATAAAAAGAAAATAATACAATTAACATTAAAAAAAAGTTACAAAAAAAACAAGAATTTGTCGATGTTAAACAGAGATAAATATTACACTTACTGCACCTCACTCTTGTGCGACTTACACATTTATTTTTTCACAATTCAATTGGAAGTGTTTAGCTACACGTTATTGTCGCTGTGCTATGCTGGTGTCCGAACTGGACTTTGCACCCTAGGTAGAGAGTGGTGGTCAGCGGTCATTTCTTATTTAATACTACCAGGATCGATACAATTTTACATACCTTTGAGTAATGATTTTCACATACCCAACGACCACACTTTTCGCAGATATTTCTTGTACATTTATCTTCTTACCTGAGATATACTGCACATCTCCCATTTTAGCCTGTTCTATTTGTGAGATTTCGCTCAACAAACAGGTTTCTGCAACAGGTATATTAGATATACGAGCCGCTTTGTGTCGAATTATTTTTGGAAGATTCTACATGGCATCCCTTTTTAATACTTGAAGTTTTGTCAAAAATATAGACAATGTCCTTAAGTATATGCGACGTTTGAGAGTATTTGATGTCGGTTGATTACAATGGTACAACATTTCCGAATTAATTTTTAAAAAAAAAACCCAGTACAGTGGGGACGGAGAGGTCACAGGTCTACAGAATTTATTATAACTGAAAGTAATAAAATCACTTATAAATAAACGCTTCGATGTGAATCTGTGGATAGTATGTTCAAACTAGTTATAGAGGTTTAGAAGATAACGTGGGACCAGCAATTATGTACTTAAAATTTAATATTTCGTCTTGTGCAGGGTGGATACGATAAGGGTTGATCGTCTGTCTATAAAAATGTACTGTCATAGTTACCCATGTACCGTAATTAACAATATAATGAAAATATTTTCATTGCCTGTTGACTGTTGATTCACACACACATAGCAACCTAGAAACTAACTACGGCCAAATTGTAAATTTATCCTTTTTTTGGGGTTTTTCCTTAACAAAAAAAAAATTGACTACAGATTTTTGAGAAAATTATATATGTCATAGTTCTATTTTAGATCTGCCTTTGGTCTAATTTTCAGATCTAAATCTCTAAAATTTTGCTAAAAAAAGTGAAATAAAGAAAACATTTCTATCCCTTCTATAGGTAAGGGTTTATGATATTTTTTTGGTTTGTTAATGTTTATCGATAGTACTATGTTTAAAGAACAATTCATATAAATTTGGAACATTTTCGACTATTTTTAAAAAAAGTTATAGAGCATCGTAATTTTAAGTTGAAAAATTTGTAAAATTTTTAGGTGTTTTTCTCGATTTTGATGGGGAAGGGGTGACTTTTTTTTAATTTTTGGCACGATATAGTACCTTCCAGGTATGATTTCTGATCAGTTGCTACACGACGAAATCGGTTCATCAGTTTACGTAATATCGTGGGTCCAGACACAAAAAAATAAAATAAAAATACATCATTGTAAAAACAATACCTTCTCAGCTTCGCATCGAAGCTAAAAAATGTATATGAAAATAATATAATTAAATTAATATAGATATAGTTTTATATTTTGTTTATCCAAACCTGCAGTTTTTATAAGATGAAAAAATAATAGCAATGGCTATCTGCGATTATTTCTGCCCGAATCATATAAACCACACATTTTATCAACCGTATCTACAGCTCATTTGGCGCTATTGTAAAAAGTGATTAGTTCAGGTTTCCTAGCATCAGCTGTTGACTCGTTCATAGCACGATACTAGCTCTTTTTCCATCCATAATGGAAGCGAATAAATCTGCACCTAATAATAAATTGACAGGACCGGGCTCTTCAAAAGACGGATCAGCCACCGCTAAATTAGTAAACCGTTTCCGTACACTGGTAGAGACGACACGGCATATAAGCCGAAATCTCTACTACAGGACCCACTAATCATACGACAGAACTAGTTCCATTGCAAACCGCAGCTGTATCTTACATTTTACCACTCCTAGGACGTCAAGCACTTCATCAAGACATAAACCGGATAATAGTTTGATCCATCGAGTTTGCGGTAAAAGGTAAAAAACAATAATACTAATACGTTACAAAACTGTTGCCCGGTTGCACCAAACTTGTCATTATCTATTGGTTAATTATTTACTACCGTAGTAAACTTACTTTTGTTAAACTCAGTGGCATGGTGACAAAATCTCAGATCATGACGCACCTGTAAAAAACACTCACCCGGACCCAAGGAAGATCTCTGTTTAGAATAGTTTTTTTCTTGCGTGTGAAAATCGGAACATCGTGCATAAAATAATACATTTTAATTTCTAGTTCAAAAGGTGATATAAAAACTTTTGAGTTTGAACAGAGCGCCTCCCAAATTCTATGTCAATAACATCAACTCGGCCGCCATTCACACGACTGCTAATATTTTAGCCTGGTAAGAAAAATTCCCAAAATTTTCCTTTTCTAATTTTGTGTTTGGTTTTATTGTTTTGCAGTTCTGCTAATCAAATTTATTGTTCTACAACACAGAAGGACAATTACTGAACTCTTTGAGATCAACCGACTAGTTTATGAGTTCACGGTTTATGCCTATAGTAACTATTAAATTTCATTCGCAAAGAGTTCTGCTTGCTACGGGTGCAGTAGACGGCACAATAGCATTGTACACGATTGATCCCAATCTCGATTAATAATTTACTCATATTTAATATACATCATATTTTACACATGCATTAATACTATTTTTGTTGTGATTTTTTTTCTTTCTTTTTTTTTTAACTTTATATATTTTATGACACTTTTTTATTGTGCTCAGACTGCCATTCGATTGAAAACTGATTTTTACGTACTTAGTATAGATATAATATATATATAAATTTTTTTTTTTTATATAAAAATGTTTTTTTCTTTTTTTAAATTAATATTATTAAATTAATGTTATTTTGTTGATTGATTGTTTTCATTGTCTTGCCATAAATCATTTATGTTTTCAATGATATCTGTTAATTCTTTATAACGGTGAACTAGAAAGAATTCTTGTAACTGAGCTGGAGTGATGGGCTTTTGTTGTTTTTTTACTTCGGTTACAAATTTTTCTCTAGCATAAATTTCGTTAGGATGAAACCGATCGAACATCCCTTTTATTTGATGATCTGTACATGGCAGGATGTGCAATTTATAGTCGACGCGACCCGGACGAATCAACGCAGGATCTAATCTATAAATAAACAAGACTAGTAGTAATTATATTTATTGTATGTTAACCGTGAGTATTACTTTTCTATATAGTTTGTCGTCATAAACGATATTCTGCCTTCGGATGATCCAATGCCATCAAAAGCATTCAGCAAACCGCTCAGTGTGACTTTACTGTTTTCTAAATTAGTTTAAAAAAAACAAAAATTAAGATGTATTAATTCGACAATGAACAGGGCTGGCACCAACCTACGACAGATTTTCCTTCCTTGTCAACAAACATGGAGTCAACGTCTTCCATAAGCACTAACGACCGCGTTGGCAACGAGACCATTAGCTGAAGTAGTTGTTCGTCGGACATTTTCGAATTGTTCAAGCTTAATATGCAGATATGGAACTTCAGTTCACCAGCTAGCGCCATAATTAACGAAGATTTTCCACAACCCGGAGGCCCGTACAGTAAATACCCTCTGTGGTACGGTATGCCTACGAATGAGGACACAACCGGATGTTATTTTGCTCAAACATACGATTTTTTGAACCAATACCTACCCCTCTCTTGGTACCAAGACGAGCCGTTTATGAAGTTGTTCAGGTCCGCCAAGATACCGTCAAATACGCCATCGTCGAGTATCACTGTCTGCTTTGATCTGGGCGTGCGAAATCCAAATCTTAGCCACCTGTCGTATGTTGGCACATACAGAGCGGTACCAACTTTCCGTTTTGATATCGTGTGTAACCTAGCTGCGGACAAACGATAGCGTTATAATAGCGTAGCTATTGTTTGTATATGGCATGTGTCGCAAAGATAAAAAAAAAACCTTAAGACGCCAGATTACCTTCCTCGAGCATTTCGTTCAACAATTGTTTCTTTTGTCCCCAAGTGGTGATGCGAAACGTCTCGAATGGTCTTGCCAAATATTCGCTTGATATTTCCGTACGATTCCGCTTCAAAGCGATCGAGTGGCCTTTATATCTAATACATTTTTAGTTTTATAATTAAACTAATGGAAAAAATTAATTAATTGTTTGCCTCTTACTTGATAACATGTTCGCCGGAGCTGGGTTCAAAATCGTACTTGAAATAATTTTCAGGCAAATCTATACGAACGAGAAACACTATTAGCTTTCTAGAAAGGATGAAGTTGACAAAAAAAAAAAAAATCCTAAACAACCCAGTAGGATTCTTTTATTTAAATAAACCAAATATTTCATGTTTATCTAAAAATATGGGTTTCATTGTAAATTGGGAATGTAAAGACTCTCCAAGTATAGGTGTCGACTTCCCAATGTTTTTTTTATATGAGGCGCTCTAATGCCAAACCGATAAACTCCACTTTTTTCAAATTGCGAATAATAGCATGGTTGGAAAAAAAGTGCATAATTTTCATTGGCCAAGATAAATAACTCTATAGTCGAATTTTTCATCACTAGATTGCGCTAAGAAAATAGGCAATTTACTTACATACAATGTTTCAAATAACTTTAACTGCCTGTCCTGAAAAATTTCATTTTATGGAATTAATCAGTTTGTCTTCTGAGCGCCTCATATAGTATATCTATATACGCTCCTACAGTATTCCCACCCTAATAGCACAGGGAGTTAAAACAATTGCATAATATCCAAGCCTGGTGAGTAGGGAACGGGTTTATGATTCATAATAAAACTTCCTATAATAATAATCCGTCCTTACACCTATCTAACTATTTATCCTACGAAAAATTATTGGTATTTTTTCTTATGCATTAATTTTTATATAAATACACAATGTTTGAGTCCTGGTGGTGTCCGCTGGATTCCAAACCAGGAGTCCTACTTCAATCTTTCACGGAAAAATATATTATTCAAATCAACTTCGCCAAGTGAGTCAGCAAGGACTCCCAAAGCGAATATTTTTTAGGGAAGTCCGACTGGAATTTCGGTGTGCTTATTGAGGTATTTATTGCCAACTCTGCCGGATAGGGTCTCGAATTTGGCGGTCCAACCGAGAGAGCGCCAACAACTACTGCAGTTAAAATATATATATATTTTTTTTTTGAGAGGAGGGGATGTTTAGAAGAAACTCTATTGATCGCTCTAACTTTGCATTGCGATATCGAGTCATTAAAACCCAGTTGCCCTACACAAGTTCCCCGTGGATCGTTACTTACCCGATTCTTCGTAATCACCGATCTCCCTGGTCGTCACGCTGAAGTGCAACAGGTCATTGTTGTCGGCCAACCATCGCAACAACCAATCGTAACACTGATCCGTATTGGCTACTTCCAGCTCGGTCACGTGATTCCGCCAAAAATATCCTTTGACCTGGGTAAACACTTCGTTCAGGACAAACAAGGCTGCGCTGACACCGACCGCACTGGCTATTTTGACCACGTACGCGTTGCTGACCGTCGCGTAAACATAGTCCTTCAACGTCATCGAACCGAACAGTCTTTAAATAAGTTATAATGTAAATTTCGCAATGTTTGTTAAAAAAATTCCTTTTAAAAACATTTTCTATATGGGAGCTTAAAGGTCGTTTTTCTAAAAAAATCCGAGTTATTTTCTAATAATTAAACAAAAAAATCCACCTTTTAGCCCCCATAAAGAAATTAGTTAATTTACTAACGCAAAAAAACTGAAATTCGTCTAGAACGCCACAATTTGACTTCTACGAAAGTAGTTTTTAATCAAATTTTCGCCATAACTCGAATAGAAATATCGCCGTATAACTACTAACTACGTAAACTTTAAACTCATTTACCCTTAAATTAGTTAGCATACTTCAAATGGCTCTTAGATCAAGTATAAATTAGCAATGATTATTCCTTTGTTGATTTTTGAAGCTATGCTTCTTATGAGATGCCTGGGCGCTGGGGGTCAACGAAGAAAAACCGTAACGTTCAATTGTGTATATATTTGGTGATCGCATCTCTTGAGAACGGCTGGACCGATTTGGCTCATTTTTTTAAAAAGATATTCGTTATAGTCCAAAGAAGGTTTTTACGGAAAGAAAAATTGGAAGAGTTGCACGGAAAATAGGAAATTTACGAAGAAAAACCGTAACGCGGGCATATGTATATATATGCCGTATGTTTGTTTGTCCTTTACGCATTAGTACACCATTCATCCGATCACCATGAAACTTTGGGTAGTTTTTGAGTACACTCCCGCGAAGGTTCCTGGCATAGTACTTATTGATAATTATACCCCTAAGGGTAGCCTCAACACGAATTTTGTACTTTAAATACGAATGTTTATTTTTGGTTGCTAACCCGAAATAAACAATTGGTAATCGTATAATTCGCATACTGTAAATTCTAAGCATAGCTTTTGCCGGGCTCCCCTGACCCACACAATTCATTTTATTTTTTATAAAACTTGAAGTCGCAAAACCACACTTAAGAAATGGAACATATTAGAAGAAGAAGACACTACCAACTGCAAATGTGGTAAAACACAGACAATGGGTCACCTACTACAATGCCCTCTAATAGGAACCACTTGTGATAAAAATGACTTACACCTGGCAAATGACAGAGTGGCAGCAGTCGTGGCTTTTTGGATGACCGAGATCTGAACGACACGAAAGAAGAAGAAATATAACACCATATAGCTAACAACTCAACAATTTTCAAAATGTTGTCAAACATTATTTGGCCAACTGTATAGTTACTAAACCTATTTAGTTATTCCAATTATACATGTATAGTGTTTTTGTATAAACTTTATCCATAGTATACCCAACTATGTAGTTTTTCTGTGTATTTAGGTAATTAACAATTTTTTTTGAAAAGTCAAAAACTTCTATGACATTACATAGAGAATTAATCATAAATATTAATATTATAAGTTACAAAATATAAAAAGCGGGAATATTAAAATTTACCAACGTATTACAGCCATTAATCATTTTTGTTAGTAGAATAATATGATTTTCAGCGGCCAAGCAAAATATTAATTTGTTCTGAAGCTAATTGATAGGATATTTTTGCTGATATAAGTTTTAATTATCGCCCACTGATGTTATATTGTCGATGAAACGTTGGTGACAGATATTTTGATTTTTGTAACAAGTGAAAATAATACAGGGTGATTCTTTTATCATGAACCAGTTAATATCTCACTGGGTTTAATTAATAATTGATTTTTTTTTCATATTGTTTTTATACAATGTGATCTCAATTTTTCACAATCTTTTGAAACTTAAATGGTAACGTATATATTTTATTACCTTTTTAAATAGAGAATAATGTGTTACAAATTTTGACTGGTCGATAACCAGTTTCGGATAACTATTTTTAAAGTTATAAGAGATTAAAAGTTAGGATGGGAGGGGAAGTGCGTGCAGATAAAAATAATAATCCACTTCACTTACACATAATTTTCAAAAAACTAAAAGTAGAATAAAATAGATATGTATTTGTGTAAAATATTTTAACTAATTTAAACAAATAAACACTATGTACTACAAACTGTAATATCATTATTTTGAACTGATACCACAGAATAGATGAAAGCAGAAAGGACAATTGACGGCCATGTTGAAAGGGTATACAACGACCGTACCTTACCTTTTTCTTATCTATTTATTACTACCAGTTTAAAATATTGATATTACGGTTTGTATTTTATAAAAATAAATTTGTTTAAATTAGTTTTTTTATTTTTACACGTAATAAACAATCTGTATATAATTAATCTAGTATAATTATACTAGACACAATAAGAATATGTGATGAATGTTATAAAATCATGAAGTTTTGTTGAAAGAAGCCACCCATTGATAACAATTTCTGTTAACTTGATATTAATTTAATTTAAGAGATCTCGACACCAATTACGCTTCAGACGTCTCGGAGGATTACCAGGTATTGTAGGGGTGGCCAATTTTTTTATTAATGGATTTGGATGATTATTTAGGCGGCTATGGAATCTTTTATAAAAGATTTTTGCTTCATCATTTATTGTTTTTAATTTTAAGTCGGAATGTAGTGTATGATTTGACACGTAGGGTGGAGCATTCGTTAGTTTTCTAAGTGCAATATTTTGAAAGGCTTGGATTTTCATTATGTTTGACTTTTTCGCATAGCCCCAGAGTTGCAGGCCGTAGGTCCATAGTGGTTTTAAAAATGTTTTATATATAAGAAGTTTTGTTTTAATAGAGGTGTATATATTATTGGTTAATAAGGGTTTGAGCATGCGAAGACGATGATTCAATGCTAATCTTTTAGTTTTGATGTGTTGAGCCCACGTTAATCTTTGATCTAGGGTGAGGCCAAGATATTTGATTTTAGGAGAGTAGGGAATTGGAGTACCGTAAAGAAGAACATTAGGACAAGGGGTATGTCTGAGGGTAAAGGTTGTATGAACGGATTTATCCTGGTTAACTTTAAACCGCCATTTTGTAAACCATATTTCCATAGCTTTAAGGAGAGTTTGTAAATTAATTGATGCTATGATTGGATCTTTATTAATAGACATTAACGCTTTGTCGTCAGCGTAGTCAGCTACTGAGGTGTTGGGAGTAGTAGGCTGGTCAGAAGCAAAGATGTTATAAAGAATTGGAGATAAGATGCCACCTTGAGGCACGCCAGCATTTATGGAAGCTATATCAGAAAGAGCGGATCGGTGGCGAACTTGAAAATGTCGATCCGTTAGGTAGGATTTGATGAGTAGGTAGTAAGTGGGAGTTTCTTAATTTTATATATGATGGTTTAAATTAGTAAATTAGTTATTACTTAAATTTGTTAATTGCTAATACATATTTCTTTACGTTAGTTATAAGTTTATTAATTGCCGATTATTATGTGGTCTTATGAACGTGTACCTTCCGTAAAGTAATGTGTGTTGAAGTCATGCGGGGAAAGCCGTATTGGCAATGAATCATTGAGCTTGTTCCATTTTCCTAAAGATCCCTGGGTTGGGGTTCGGGTGGGGGCATATATTTTGTATTCACAATATTTAAAATAGAAATGAATAATAAATTCAATAATTTAAGGGGCCAAATTCTCTATGAATTGTTTTGGGCCAGATATTATGAAAACACTAAAATATTAGTCAGAAACTTGATATGTTTACTAGCCACCTTAAGACGCGTTCTCACGGATCAAGTTTAGTTGTCCGATTATAGTTGGTCGAAAAAAGTTGAATATGACTTGAATCATTTGTTGTTCACACATTTCAATAGAAACTGATTCAATTCAATACACAGTTTCAATTTAATTCAGTTAAAAATGGCGTCGAAAGTAGTTGTGCGTGATGTTGTAAATACAATTACTGTTTTGTTAAAAGAAGAATTAAAAACAATTTTATTTAACATGAGTAAAAATCGGTATGATAGTTTATAGATTCATTTAGATTATAGATTTATTATAGATTCACTTAGAGCTATCATTTAAAATATCACTTATAGCTTTAGCAAGTATATCAGATGACTCTGCCATCAACATACACAGTACAAACTGTTATAAAATAAGTAGACACTATAGTTACGCCCTGATCATAGTAACGCTTATTGTAAATACGCAAAGAGAAATGGTTTTTTTTTATTAGGTGTTAAATATTACGTATTGACTATTTAACATGTATAACCCAAATATTTCACATATGAACATGCACAGGTACCCTTGTTACTTAATGAAAGTAGCGCCACCTGTGTCGTATACCGGTAAAGATTTAATGAACATGTTAGTGCCCAAAATGTATGAAGTAAGAAAGATAACCAATCAACCTATGAACCGGAAATTCACCCATAAGGTCACAGAGCAGACAACTCACCAGTACTGTCAACCGCAAACTACAGTGGATGAACTCGATAGTAATGTAGTAAAAGTCACAGGAGGGACAGAAAACAGCGTAGCCGGCGTGGAAAATTCGGCGGAAGGAAAAACGTTGTCAAACCCAATAAATCCGAATATACATATTGTCGAAATTGAAGACGAGGCTTTGAAGAAACCCGTAAGTTTAAAAAACGATTACTGCCAACCGCAAACTACAGTGGTTGAACTCGATAGTAATGTAGTAAAAGTCACAGGAGGGACAGAAAACAGCGTAGCCGGCGTGGAAACTTCGGCGGAAGAAAAAACGTTGGCAAACCCAATAAATCCGAATATACACATTGTCGAAATTGAAGACGAAGCTTTAGAGAAACCCCTAAGTTTAAAAAACGATTACGAACAAAGTAACAAGACCACTTTTAAAATCAACGTCGATTATAATGAAGACAACAGCTTATTTCTAAATCCGACGGCGATTGACATTAGCAACTACGATTTTGAAGACTTGTCGAAATCAAACACTAGCTACAATTACACAAGTGACGAAACCTATTACGATCCTCAACCCGTAAAAACGACTACTTTACCCAAGCCTGAAAACATAAACGAGAAGAAAATTTGTAAAACATGTCACAAAACTCGAGGAAACAAGAATTCAAA